ACGACTCTGTAACGAAGTTTCTCATTATCCGAGCATTTTACCACGGACCATCTAATCACGGCGACCAATTTCCACCGCGAGGTGGTTCTTTTCACGAAGATCGAAAGATCGTCGATTTAGACACGTCTAGTGGGCAATTTAAACGATCCAGGTGAACTTGTTAACGAATTTTCCGCTGTAATTTAACGAGTAACACACACACACACGCACACACTTTGAAGCTTCAGAATTTCACAATTCAAACAGAATTTCCGAATCGGTGAAAAACTGTAGTACCATCTTCACTTCGTGCATTTCATAGTTTGCCATTCGTAAAACTTTTACTCCAAGTTCTCTATTCTTTCGAAATTCGAAGGTGGTCTTATTCTTTTCAAAACTTTCAATTTCCCTTCTCTCGTGTAATTAACAAAGAAGAAACTTTCTCTCTTCTTTCAGGATTTAGAATAAGTAGAGAAATACGTATTTAAGTAACGAAATAAAAATATTATTATCTACTTAGAAGTCACTACATAAATCAGCAAAACTGTTGAAGATTGTAGCGCTGCTATAGTTACACTCCCCAGTGTATGTATTTACTACTGGAATGAAAGAATAAAAATAAAAGAAAGTATCGAGCTGATAACTCACATCGAGATCATAATTTCAAATACACTTTGCACGATCCAGAAGCGACAAAACTTAAACTTCTAATATTCGCCTCGGTAACTTACACAGTCTTCTATTATATTCTCTGTTAGTCTTATTACGTCGTGTACATGATAACTTTTCAAGAATCGTATTTTCAGAAGAAAAGAATTTTCTCGTATCGAAAGTTTCTGCACATCCTTGGAGAACTACGAGATCGTCTCTCTCGGGTAGCATCGCGATTGTCGCGAAAGAAATGCGACCAGGAACAAGCGGCTGCTTCGTTTCGTCGTTCGTCAGCGTGTCGCCGAGATAAAGCAACCAGCTTCCATTAGGCAACTAGCCGCGGTTTACTATGAAGGGGAAAAATGAAACGAGGCATAAGTCTCGCGGTAACATACGTTCACCTGAGGAACGTGTTTTATTGAGACTTTTACAAGCCGCTACCGGCTGCTGTCCCCTCTCTGGACTGGTGTTGCATTATTTGAATAACATCGAAGTTGTTAACCCACACGACCGGTGATCGTAAGTGAAGGAAGGCGCGATCCAAGTTACACCTCGAGGAATGCTCGTGAGCAGCATTTTTCATTCGCAGCTATTTGCCCCAATTCGGTGCTCGTCGGTTCGCATTCACGGAGAAATAGCGGCAGACCATTCCGGCGTTTCCAGGGGATTAATTAGGTTGAAATCGGAGAACGATTGGGAAACAGTTTTCGAAGAGTAGAGTTTCGTACGGTGGCCTTTGAGAATTACTATCTGCACCGTGGAAAAGGTAGGGAACACTTGGGAAACGGTGATATTTCATTTCTTCTTTTTTTTTCATCGTGTATTCGATACTTTAGCAGTATGTCTCGTGAAATGTCTAGTCTTTGTTGGAGTAACCGAAGTGGTCTTAAGTGTTTTAAGTACCATTGTACGTAATTGCTTTTAGAGTGCGTAATTAGGGCACTCTCCATAAGGAGGGAAAAATTGATAATTTTCTTAAGAATGATTTTGTGCAACTAAACGCTCCAAGCACTAATTTCTTCCTAAACATTGTATAGTCGGGGCCACGATATAGCGAGGTCGTAAAATCGGTCAGACGTTAAAGTAAACATGTTTTAGCTGCCGGGACCCCGAAATTGACAGAGATACGAGCAGATAAATACTTGAAACCATTGTCAGGACCGTACGAAGAATTCTTGTATCCAGCGAAAGTCAACTGATTCTAATATATTTACTGAAAACTGCATGCAGCTAGGACAAATTAGGGTTTCTCCCTCTGGGGGAAGCCGCTTTTGGAAGTACGGTTACAGGTAAAGGTCTTATTGATGTCTTTAGCATCTTAGTTTATCTACTCGTGTTATATACAGATAGAAAGTGCAAAAAGATTGTGTAGTTTATTGTTGGAACCCTCAAACAGACTGCAACACACGGCCTTGAGTGCCGCAATATCAATCGGTACCGATTCTTGAGAGTTTAATTTACGACCTCGCTATATCGTGGCCCCAACTATACTTCTCGATACTCGCAAACGTTTATCATTCCGAATTCTTCGATTACAGTTGAAATTAATGTCCATTTAAGTCACAATTTTCCCCACGATTATGACTTAACGTTACCAGAGAAGAGTGATTGTAATAGGGAAAAACTGCTATCTCGGTTTCGATCATTCTTCTTGCAGAGAATGTCTCTGCGAAGTGTGAAAAGAGCGATCGTCGCTGTTGTGATTAATGGTCACTTGATACCTCACCTACGAATGCCGCGAGCATTCCGCTGTTTCTACACTCGAGTGTAATTTTACTATTCGCTAAGTAGATGGATCTCTCTGCGATAGTAATCTTTATCGAGAACTGAACGATGCACTCACGCAGAAGATATTCATCTGGATCGTCGAGATTTCTACATGCGTGGCTAACTATCCTTGAATCACAGAACGGATAATAAACATCGATGGTAATCGTTCGTTTTTGTTTTTTTTTCTTTATTAATCAATGCGAACCAGCACGTGTTCCTATGGTGGACGCAATACGACCGCACTTTTCATCAGAATCAGCTATGTCTTGTTGACGACCTACGCGCTCCTATTCGTGACTCTCGTCTGAGTGAATTTTTTAATAATTAGATAATATATAGATGATAACTTTTAGATCACTGTCAGAGATTTATGAAAAGTTCTTGAGAAAACGAACAATTTATAGTATAAAATATTCTTCTCTAAAAATAGATCCTTTTTTGGGCAGACTGTACAATAGGTTGCATTTCGTAAATATTTCGTCGTTTCCATTTAGAAACGTAAATTACAATTTTCCGATATAATTTTGGTGAAAAATAAAATCTTTTCTTTTCTCACGATTTTGACTAATTACGTCACGAAATATTTCTTCACTGTACATCTTCCAAGGCGCGTAACTGACGTTTAGACGTCTAAAAACGGTGAATTCGCGTACGGGGTGGGAAAATGCAGCAAGGAACGGTGCATAGAGTAGTATGAATCATCGTTTTCCACGCAGTTCATGAAATCGAAACGACAAGGTCTTTCTTCTGCTGTAATTATCGGTTGCAAACAGTGGAACTGTTCTATTGCAACCGGTATACGAACGTTAGCAGCAAGTGTGAACGTTCTTATCTGATGGAACTCTCTCAACATAAACAAAATGTACAGTTACGAATGATATAACGAGACTAGCGTTTGAATAAATTCTTTTATCAACCTTAAATTTCACGGGTAAAACTTTCATTCTATAAATAAGTAAGTAGGTACCTATAAGTTTCAGAAAGAAACTTGTGTTCACATTTCGTAAACACGAACACCTTGAACCAAATAATTCAAAAGAAATACTTTATATCTATTTTTATAAGACACCTTGTTTATCCGTCGTGCATACAGAAAGAAGATAAAAAAAGAATCATCGTCTCACAATTATCAAACTAATTAGCAATGTAAATAGTAGAATTATTGAAATGATAAATCACTCGTCGATCACTTGTATCTAACTAAACAACACCTGTTAACACTCGGATTCTTCTCAAAGAATTCATCGTTTCACGGAAGAAACGCAACCCTGTCGGCAGCTAATACTTTCTTACCGTCCAAAAAATCCACTTTCTACTTTTAAAGAGTTGTATCGAAGAGTAAAACAAACCGTGAACAAACGAATGTACTACGCTCAGTCTTCCACAATTAGCTCGATTCTATCGTAAAGAAAATAGAAAGGTGTGTTTGACGAACCTCTGGTCGACAGTGAGGTTCTCCAGTTCCGGTACCAAGCACCAGTGTTCATCCGGTATCAGCGTGATGAAGATCTGCGAGAAGTACACCCAAGCGACGAACGAAGCGAACGGGATCATCAGAACGAAGAGGATCTTCTGATAGAGACCGAACTCTCCCACGTAGGGCAACAACTCGTCGAAATCCACGTCTCCCGTTTCATCCTTGACACCTGTATCACCATCCGATACTTGAAGATTCGCCGTATTCTGACAATCAGCCGCGTTACTCTCACGATCATCGTTCAGATGCATCGAGTTCTCGAACTTCTCTTGCGGCGGCATCTTCCTCCTTGCGGGAGACAACGGGAATCACTGAAATAGACACAACTCGATCACGTTTTACTCGTGACAATCACAGCGTTTGATAGATCACCAGCTCGAGAGAGAAGCTTCACGTTTTCACGAACGCATGATTCTGTGTCCCTTTCGATTAGGTTAGGGTACCGCAGCGATAAAACTATCCCGTCTAAGCTTGTGATTTGTTTGAACAGCGATTTTCTTCGGAGATGCTAATCGAGCACGTGGAGCTTGTTTATCATCGACATCGCGTGAATTTTTGCGAAACGAATCGGAGGTAAGTGAAACGAAGAAAAACGGTCAGGCTAGTTCCACTGTTAGACGAGATCTCGTGTGGGACTGAAACGATCAGTTTCTGTAGCTGGCTATATAGCCAGCGAACCGACCGAGTGCTACTCCCTCTCTTCTCCCTGTGCAAGCAGAATTCAGTGCTCTGCAAGTGGCATTGAACAGAGCGCGGATCGCGTCAATCATCATCGTCATTGGCGCTCGACTAATTTCTTTCGCACTCTCCCTGGAGGCAGGCTAACGAGACGACACCAGTTCACCTCTTTTTTTCTTCTCTCTATGGTCGTCCAGGAGGATCGTTTAATTGCCGCGAATTAAGGAAGCGGAGGGAACTTGATGAGGTTTCAGATATACAGGGTGCTTAGGAAAAATCAGTTAACACTTGGATGAAAGTGACTTTTTTTTCTTTTTTTTGGAGAAAACCTCTTTGTGAATTGGAACTTTTTCTTGGAGAAAAATTCTTCGTGGATTGGAACCTTTTTTTGGAGAGAAACTCTTTGTGGGTGAGAACTTTTGTTTGGAGAGAAAGTCTGTGGATTGGAACCTTTTTTGGAGGAAAGCTCTTTGTGAATTGGAACTTTTTCTTGGAGAAAAATTCTTCGTGGATTGGAACCTTCTTTGGAGAAAAACTCTTTGTGGGTGAGAACTTTTGTTTGAAGAGAAAATCTCTGTGGATTGGAACTTTTTTTGAAGAAAAACTCTTTGTGAATTGGAACTTCTTTGGGTTATCAAGAAAATCGTAACTGGGATCAAAATTACGATTGGAAATTAATATTTGACTGTTACCATGAAAAGTGAACTGAATTCAGAGGATGTTTAACACATCTTGTGTCAAGGATAACATTTATTTATTCATGAATCTAGAGGATTGTTAAACATCTCCCATTTTTCATTGTGCTTTCTGTTTGATTGTAAAATCTGGATCGATCCGATGGTCGGAAATCTGCACAATAACGACAAATATCAACCGTAGAGTAGAAATGACAGAAGCAGTAAGTAGAAACGTGATGTCGCTTATTTGGCGGCATTCGTGCTCGAACGGTTAACCAGAGTACTTTGTCTTCGAAGTGTTCGCCTCCACTTGCTCGCCATCATTGTCAGCACATTCTTGAAATCTTCTTTAGACTGTCTCTTAAGTCCTGAAGCACACTTTCTCCTCTATCGTTGCAATGAAATTAGCAATTTTCGAAATCTAACATACAAGTGGTTCAGTTAACATTGTTTTTAAAGCACATTGTGTATCAAATTTTTCAAAGATTTCACTTTTACTCTACTTTTTATTATTTACGAAAGTTTACATTCTTTATGCAAAGTTGGAATTAATAAAAAATAATTGAATCATCTGTCTGCCTCGAGTTTCGATAAGGTCTTATCATTGCGCAATTGATTTCCTTAGAAAAAACCTTGCTCGTCCCGTTTTGACTCGTCCCGTTAAATAGTTGAAAGAATGAATTTTTAACGATCTCATTCAGAAGCAGGTTTGCCTTGCTCTTCTTTCACGCGATTCTGTCTTTCTTCCAAAAAGATTCTTTCCTCGATCTACCTTAATTTTCCATCATCGACGTCCCAGATGAAAGCAGTTGCATAAGTCTCGTCGAATATTTTCTGCAAAATCGTTCGTTTTATCGCGAATTCTCGCGGTTATCTTCCGTTGTCTGCAATCGGAACGAAGGAAAGGTAAACAACCGGCTGACTCGCATGATTCACACGATTACACACGGTTAATGCGAGACTTCTTTTTTTTTTTTTCTACAGTCTGATTTACGCGCGTCGGCGCCGATTCTTTTTTCCTTCCATCGGTCGTCGTTTAATCTTTTCTTCTTCCTTTTTCTTTCTGTGCGCGAATTTCCGTGGTAATTTTTGCAAAAGTGACGTCGCGACGTCGATGAGCTTTTATCACCTCTACAACTAGTATTATCTGGCGGAGACTAGAAAACTGAAGCTGGTGTTGTTTGACGAAGCCTGTTGTTAATAAATATACCGCCTTCAACCACGATAGCGAACGAAGATCCCCTCTGATCAACGCTGTGAGTAAACCCCTTCGATAATAACGCGATTAAGGTGATAAAAGTATTAGATACGATTTGTAGGCGTTAGGTAGAACCATCACGGTTCCTTATATTTTCACGAGTTAACCCTTTGAGGACGATAGACTCATATATATATGCGTTCACAAGACACTATGAACGTAACTAATAAACTCGTAATTTTAAGCAACAGAAATGAAATTTTGATATAATTTAGTTTGAAGAAAAAAATACTGAAGTAGTGACCTAATTGTGTGTTATACGAATAATCTGTACTTCGACATGGCATATAGTCCTCCGTCCGCAAAGAGTTAATACGATCGTATTGGGTGGTTCGAAAAATACAAATTGACGTTATCTCTGTCTTTAATCGAGAGATAGCGACTGAAACCGAAAGGTGTTTTACTCGTTATTCGAAGACGAGCCGAACGCACTCCTCGAATTATTCAGAAGGTGAACGCGGAAGGATACACACAGAGTGGTTGAGAAAGTTCGTAGGGAGACGTAAGAAAACTTCAAACTGACGTTATCTCTGTTTCTAATCGAGAGATAGCGACCAGAAACCGAAAGGTGTTTTACTCGTTATTCGAAGATAAATCCAGCCTACCCCTGAAATTACTCCGAAAGCGAACTATTATAAAGATTTTCTGCGATGGAGCGTTGCCACGAAAAGTTCAACATCCACGCTCCGCTGGAAATGATGTAATTCGATTTGTATCCACCTCCGTTCACCGTACGAATTTTTTTCCATTACCGCGTTGGATTCACCTTCAGCTGTCGAGAAAAATCACGTTCGACTTTTATCGCTGTGTCAATTAGAAACAGAGACACCGTTTAAATTTCGCCACGAACCTTCCGGACAACCCGATAGAAACGGTAGATTGTTTATTTTCCAAGTGAGTAAATATATTTTCGCATCGAATTACGATAAAAATTTGCCATACAAACGTGGAATAATTTCAGTATAAAATAATCGTGTTGCACAACATTCGCGATTGTTTGTTTAAAGCGTAATAAGAGCGCGGTACCATAATGGCGGCACGCGAAGTGGAGGAAAAACGCTGTACAGCATCACAATGGTGGTATTCAAAGTGCAAAGAGACAGTAATTATCATTGTTATGCAGCGAACGTAATGAGAATGATTTATTGAACATCGGTGGAGAGGGTTTGATTTATGTTGAACGTGTGAAATGCTTCCGGTGTCGTTAACCGTTCGGGAACAAATTGGTCCAGTTCGAAGGACGAACAACTTTTTCGAAATATTTTTATTTCATGATTTCAAGGTTATCGATACACTTTTCGAACGAACTTATACATTGTTATGACTCGGAAATTAGAGCTCGTGTTAGAACGAAGGATTCAATTGTGAAGTGTGAAAGTGTAGAAGAATATGAAATAATTTTTGTGGTACGGTTTTATTAATGGAAAAATGATTTAAAAACGGCGATTTCTCGATTTCATTTGTAAAACTGACGCAATTGCATTTCACAGCAACTGTGCGTCTCGTGGAAAGATTAAGCTTATTGAACGATGTAACATTTTTTCTTTTTTCGTTTGTTCGTTGCATCTTCGATTAGAGGCGAGTTATTAACTCGTCCCAGTTTCTAGAATCACCCTGTAGACAGAACCTGTTTCTAGAAGCACAGAATACCGTGCATGACCCGATTTCTCCTTTTTAATCCTATTGCACCCCTTTCACTATCTACGCTATGTAATCGGTATCTCGTGGGCGTCCGGTGAATTTGCAAAAGGGCCGAACAAAAGGATACGCAATAATCGAAATGTAATTATTTATAATTTTCTATACTTGTATATTCCTTCGATAAATGTTTCACTTCTCGTTACAATTCGTTATAACATATTAAACGAGATCACAATCCTAATTACCTTACTTTTTTTCTTTTTTTTAGTAATTTCAAAAAACCATTCAAGTAGATTACTGAAAAAAACGCCGATGATCACAGAGCGGAAGTGATAGAAATAAGTTTTACATAACCGTTTTGTCAACGTACCGCAAATATGTACGCTTCCTTTTATTTCAATTTTTTTTCTTTTTTCACCTTTATTGTGCACGTATACTCGTTTATTATAACGACAGTTTCATTTACATATCGATACGGCTTGATCTCGCAAATGTATCCGAAGTAGATCTATCTTTCCGGTGATTTATAATAAACGAACTCACATGCATCCACATATACATAATAACATAAAAATGTACATCTTAAACTCTGAGATTATAAACTGTACTAGATCGAGTCTCGGTTAAACAATAAATAAAACAGAAAGATCGTGAGGAGCTTTTCTGCCGATTACGTCGGATCACTGGATAATTATTACAGTTGCTGAGAAAGGTTCGACGATTTTTCATCGATCGTCAATCTAGCCTGATTACCTAAGCGTTTAGAACTTCTTTATCTGTTCTTCTTCTTGACAATAGTAAAAAATAGAACACCGTTATCTAAATAAATCATTATAAACTGCTAACACTGCTTTCTTTCAATATTTACAATCATTTGATCATCGATATTCAATACCTATTGTTTTTTCTTTGTTTTTTTTTTTGTGTTTTTTGTTTTTTTTTTTTTTTAAATAATACACATCGTCGAAGCAAACATTTCACACGATCAAACGCTGCGATCGAATTTTCTTTCTTTCTTTTTTTTTCTCCATAAACTTTTTACAATTTCAACGCACGGGGATCGTACATCGCTTTGTGAGAAAAATGAAACTTCGTCAAGTTTAATCCGATGCAGATCGTCAAATATCACGAGATATCTTTTGTTCCTTTTCCTTTTATTGCTAAAACAAAATCTACACAAACGTAAAGATCCGTATTGTGATGTTTTGTTAAATATGCCGGTCTTTTCTCGTCTTACTCGACGTGATTTTCAGTTCTCCCCGGTTAAGTTCGTCTTACAATTAAAATGAGTCAACATTTCCTCTGGTGTTTAGGACTTTTTTCGCAAGTATTCCTAAAACTTTTAACACAGTTTCGATAATATATAATACATCGTCCCACTTAAACGCCGTGTCTGTGTGAAAAGACTATGAATATCATCATGAACATATGATACAGAATCATATTTCACACAATTTATATTAACAACATGAAGCCTTGTCAATTCACCTTCTGTATTTTAGGTATTTGGAAGTTCAAGTTGATAGTAAATTTTGCAT